ATATAATCCATCACTCTTCCCAACCCTAGTGCAGCTCTTTCAGCCTACGTGTCTTGTCCCCGTGCTTTAATAAACTCACCTTTTTTGCACCAAAGATGTCTTCAAGAATTCTTTCTTGGCCGTCGGCTCTGAATCTCCATCATTACCCCAAAAACCTCATCAAATTGTCTTAATATTTATTTTTCTTTTATGTCTGTAGTATTCACTGTGTTAGCTCCTCTTTCAAAGTTGATATTGGTAACTTTTTACTTTCTCTCTTTTTTCTTGATCAATTTAGGTTGAGAGTTACCAGTTTTATTGATCTTTTCATTGTAACTTGTTTTCATTGATTTTCTTTTCCATTTTATCTCCTGTCTTTATTATTTGCTTCCTTCTCTTAACTTTGTTTTGCTTTTTTTCTAGATTCTTAAGGTAGAGCTTCTTCTACTGATTTTACCTTCTTTACTTGCAATATAAGTATTGATAATTATAAATTTTTATATAAGAACTATGTCAGCTGCATTCCTCAAGTTTTGGAATATTTTGTTTTCATTATCATTCAGTTCAAGGAATCTTACAATTTCCTCAGTGATCTCTTCTTTAATCACTGGTTTATTTAGAAGCTTGTTGTTCAATTTGGTAAATTGTCAAACCTGGTAAATACTACTTTTTTACATCTAAGACATATATACTTGGAATGTAAAGCATGGGTAGAAGATAGCTTCATAGGTGGGTTATATATACATATACACTCTCATATTTATATTTATATGTGTGTGTTTAGATATATGAAATATACTTATAAATCTAAGTATGGTGTGTGTTTTTGTACTAGATTTTGATAAGGTCAACCTTAAAAGACTGTTCAGAATAGTATTGTTAGTACATTAAATCATCTCTTGGTTCTATTTAAACTCTTTTCCCCCTCTACTAAGCACCAAAACATTTAAGAATATGTCTATTCTTATATACATTCTTATATATCCCAAAGGAATATGGCAGGTTTGGTTTCATTCCATGGAGTCACTGAGACCCAAGACAGAATGGTGTAAGTGTGCAGGATATAGCTTCAGAATCAGAGCAGCCATGATCCTATAAGTCAAGAAGGCCTTAGGTTAAGGACGTCATTCCTGATGCAGGACGAATACTTACAAATGTGATAAAAGCTTCCAAGCATACCAGTCCCAAATAAATAAAACACATTAGCACAAAGAATTACTATAATATATTATAAAGAATACTTGATTCTTCTATACAGGACAAGATAGCTCATTGTTTTATTAGATGGATAAAAGCTCCTAAGAAGTGTTAATCATAGATAGTAAATGTGCTAGCACCTTTGGAGATATGGGCAAAAATCATGGGATGTGTATTAAATACAAACAGTACGTAAGTGAGTAGCTTGTGAGGCATAGGCAAATTTGTAAGATGTGTTAAATATAGATAGTAAGTTAGTAACCTGAAAGACATGTTAACAATGGGTAGTATAATGAAATATAAACAAGAACAAATATACTATTTATAGATAGAAAGTCATAGTTTATGATCATGACTTTCTCAACATTTTTATAAATCACCTTTAAATTGGCCATTCATTGGTGATATCCAGTATAGTCCTGTTCTAGCCTCACATGTTTTGTGTCCAAAAAAATGTAGACAAAATCCATAGCTATTTAGGAGGTCAATTGGAAATGTACAGCTTCACTCCAGTGTCTCTAATAGAATAAGCCTGTGTTCAAACCATGAGAGACTCTTGAATGCTGACAAAAACTGAGGACTGATGGATGTGGGGGGGAGGGGGGAGGGGCATGGAGGAGGGCACTTGTGGGGATGAGCACTGGGTGTTATGTGGAAACTAATTTGACAATAAACTATTTGTAAAAAAATAAAATAAAATAAAATATTTTTAAAAAATGGGCAGAAAACATGAATAGACACTTTGCCAAAGAAGACATTCAAACATAACTGACACATGAAAAGATGCTCGATATCACTCATTATCAGGGAAATACAAATCACAACCACAATGAGATATCACATTATACTTGTCAGAATGGCTAAAGTTAACAACACAAGAAACAACAGTTGTTGGTGAGGATGCAGAGAAAGGGGAACTCTCTTGCACCATTGATGGTGATGCAAACTGGTGCAGTCACTCTGGAGAACAGTATGGAGGTTCCTCAAAAAATTAAAAATAGAGCTACCCTATGATCCAACAATTGCACTACTCAGTATTTACCCAAAGGATACAAATATACAGATTCAAAGGGATACATGCAACCCGATGTTTATAGCAGGATGATCAACAATAGCCAAACTGTGGAGAGAGTCCAAAAAATTTTTTTAAAAAAAGGATAGAGAACAAACTGAGGGCTGATGGAGGGAGGTGGGTGGGGGATGGGCTAGATGAGTGATGGGTATTAAAAAGGACACTTGTGATGAGCACTGAGTGTTGTATAGAAGTGATGAATCACTGAATTCTATTCCTGAAACCATTACTGCACTGTATGCTAAGTAACTAAAAGTTAAATAAAAAGTAATAAAAAGACAACTATCCAGTTAGCAAACATTGCCTTTGGAATGAAAAATCAGATATTAAAAATGTATTGACATATGATTTTATTGTTAATTATTTAAATTCAAAGAAAGGCTATTATGGTCACTTCTATGAGGTTTAATTTTTACTTCTTTCTACATTATAATTTTATGAGTTATCTTATGGTAGTTTAAAATTATTTCATCAATCTTGGTCTTTGTTTTTAATTTATACAGTGGAATTTACTTGTTCATTGGTGTGAGCAATTTTCAATATCTTGCCAAACAGCCTGTGGCAACTGAAAATACAAGTTGCATATATTAGACTTTTCTGTTTCCGTGCAGTGCAACAAAAACAAATTATGCTAAAAACCCAGCATCATTGAATTGCAGGCACTTTTATAACTTTTATTTTCTGTAAGTAAGAAAACAAATTTGACCTACGTATTTAGGAGGCAAATAGTAGAGCAAAGCATATCTTATGGCTATGGTCATTTTCATTTTCACTTTATTGTTATTTATGTTTGTTATCTCCCCAGTTTAACTAAATGCTTTATAACCCATTCAGCCCATCTTGTTTTAGAACTCACATGTATTAGAAGTTTGATCAGTATTTGTAGACCAATTTTATTATTCTTGTGTTCTCAAATTATACTTTAAAACTCAGGTTTATTAAGGAAATCCCCATCGGTTTTCTGAGCATTGTGAAAAAACCTCTCTAGTAGCTCATGGTGGTCACATGTTCAAAGCGTGCTGTCAGACACTGATGCCCCTCAGCCGTGTGGGCAGCTGGAGCCTATAGGCTAGTAAGCTCCAGCTAAAAGCAGCTCTCTCTAGGGCTCCTCCGCAGCCTGAGCACAGCAGGGCTTGAGATGTGATGATGTGTCCTCTGGCAGCCATTAATTCTGGCTCTGCTGTCTGATGCTGGGTGTAGCAATGAGTTGTCCTAATGTCTGGACATCTATTGTGGCTACCAGCCGCCAAGCACACAGCATCAGTAAGGGTGCTGAAGGAGGTATGCCGGGAGCTCGTTTCGCAGGAGTCCAAGTGGCTCTGCTTCAGTCCAAGTTGAAGACAGGACACAGATCCACTTCTCCATTCCTAATCTGCATATTCATGTATACAGGTAGCGTCCCCCTTTTGTGGCTGCCATCTTTGGAGCAGAATCCAATCCCGCTGCAAGCCTGCCCTCACAATGAATGCCCATTCTGCAAATCAGAGCTTCAGCCATCGCTATGAATGAGTCTGATTAGATTTGAGATCGTTGGCATTATTACAAGAAAATTCAGCACCACATTGTCTTGGACAAAAAACAATGCTCAATTTCTTTAAATATAATTTCCAACGACAGTGAATTTTTGAATTGTAAAAAAGTTTTTTACGTGTTTATATATAACTTATTTTGTTGATACTGACTAGAGATAAACTTTTTCATAAAAATATGAAATTATTTTACGTGGAATTTTATGCACATTTAATATTTAAATCACTTCTAATATATTTCTATTTTTTTTAACATATACTCGGTTGTAAAGACAAGATAGTTAAGTGTTTATTAAACTCCAAGAGCCATATCATTTTTTTCTGTGACATGACTGGAAAATTTGGGGAAGCACTTTTTATTAGGGATTTTCAGTAATGTACATGTGCTCGAGGTTCTCTTCTAAGTGCTTCCAAAACAGGGCATGAGGCCTTTTCTGCTGACTCTGTGTAGCATAAAGATCACTCAGCTTCAGAGAACCTAATCCCTTCAAATGTAAAATACTAGAACATTCTCATGGTCCTATTGAATGGGACCATGTGCAGTGCAGGACTAGACTGGAAAAGTAATCCACAGGCTGGCTCCTTCTTTCCAGTTTACCTAACTGCCTTGGACCAAGTAGTCATCCAGGTGTCTTACTCCGTTCCTTTTCTCTGGTAAGACCAAAGAGCTTTCCTTCTTCCAGCCTGCGCAGCGCAGGTTGACGGGCTGGTCTGGAAGAGTCGCCCAACTCGCTCCTACATTTTCCCCTTGCCTCTGGGCCACTGGGGTGCGCGCCACGCTCCCAGATCTCCAGGCTTCTCTGGGGAAGCCTCCCGTGCCAAGCAAGGCTGGGTGGGTGCAGCGGGTGGTCTCTGAGACTTCTCGCTTTCCCGGCAGGTGCTCCAGAAAGTAAAGGCCGAAACCGAGAGCCAGAGTTTCTTCGAGGTGGGGCCGGCGCTCCCGGACTTCGTCCAAGTTCTCCCTCCAGTCTGCGCCCTGGGACCGGGTAGTGGCGGAAACCGGGCGTCCCCGCCTTGGGGGCGTGGACCTGCAACACCTGGGCTGTCGCTCGGGGGCTGCTGCCATCCCGCCCCTCCCCCAGCCTCCGCTGGGGATGTTTGTCTTGCCCTCTGCTCCTTGCTCTTTTCTCTTTCACTTTTCTTTTCGCTGAGGGTTGGGACTCCCTGGGTTCAGGGCGCTCAGGGAAACCCCAGCTGACTCGCTCTTTGCAGTCGAAGCCCAACGCCAGGGAAGGGAGCCAGGTGGCAGCGCCCGTCCGGCTACGCCGCTCGCTGCACCCGAGACCCGCAGCCCGGACTCGATGGAGGTACAGATTTCTGCTTCTTCGCCAATGTGTGTGTGTGGGGGGGGGGGAGGTGGGTGAAAGGGCGATGGAATTTTCCCCGACAGTCTACGCCTCGGGCCAATCCCCGCTCCGGGCGGACCTACCCATTTCCCCCCATAGACTGCGGACCGGGCCGCCCCGCCCTCTCACGGGGAAATACTGGACCGTGACTTCAGTTTTCCGTTGCACGACGTGCAGAGGTTTTCCCCCTCCTGACCCTTTATTCTCGTGGGCTCTTCTCGCCATCCTCCGCTTCCAGGGGAGCGCAGACTGGTCCGCTCGCGGGTCCCGCGCGGCTCCTGCGCGCTCCTGGCTCCTTCGGTGCTGCGGGCCGCGGGTCAGCAGGTGGCAGCTCCTGGCGCCGGGGTCTCGTCCGCTCACTTCGCAGCTGACCCGGCGGAGCGCGCGGGACGCGCGCCTGCCTCCCCGCCAGGCTGCGCGTTTCGGAGAAGACGCAGTCTGACACCACAGAGCGCTGAGTTCGGCGCCCAACCGAGCTCAGCGTCCCAGAAAGGTACCGAAGCTCCCCGCTTCTTCCCTGCCCGCCCCCGCCCCCCCCAAACTCCTTGCGAGTCAGCACAAATGTGTCTAGGACCCTGCGCATTCGTCTCTCCCTTAGCTGGCAAAATCAAGTTACCTTCCCCTCCTTGGATCAGGACTTGCACAAATGGTTATTGATGGGCACTCAGGCCTGGGTCTACACTATTACTTCTAACCCTCATCAAGCCACTCATCTCTTAGAAAAGCAGTATTAGAAACTTGGAAGAGATACAGGAGATTTAAACTGCAGTAAAATCCTTATTCAAGATGGATTTATGAACAACCAGATAGATAATCTTTTCCAAAGTTACTGAGACTGTGTTTTGCGAATGTTTACAGTTCATTTTAATTCAACTACGTAATTCCGTGCATTTAAGATTTCGATAACTTCAACGTATCCATAAGGCAAGATAATTCTTAAACGATGCTTATGACAGATTCTTAAACAGGATGAGCCAAAAGTTTCAAAGCTGGAAGTAAAGTGGTTGTTGCTAGCTATTTTTTCCATTATGTTTTTAAAACTATTTCCTAATAGTATGACACAGGGGATGGCATCTGCTTGTAACTCATAGGCTTCCTCATGTTGTCAGTGTTCCTAAAAAGGTTTTATTGACTGCACTGAATGAACAGATTAGCTCTGGATGATTGTGGCCTCCAGCAGCGCAGGGAGTGTTAGGTGGACTATTCTACTGAAAGCATCAAGGTACAATATGGATTAAATTTTAAACTACTGTTCTTTTATTGAAAAGCAGTGTGGTGGGCATGGTAGACAGAGGGAGGAGGCACAAAGGAAAAGAAAAGATACATAAAAGAAGGAACTAAAGATAAAGCAATAGCCTTCTTAGATTTAAAAAGTGATGAAGAATTTAAAATTTTACATAATCAGGTTAGGAAATCTCAGAAAGTTCTAAAGGTTTGTTGTGATTGTGTGTGTGTGTGTGTGTGTGTGTGTGTGTGTGTGTGTTTTAAAGATTTTTATTTATTTCTAGGAGAGAGAGAGAAAGATAGCGTGAGCAGGGGAGGGTCAGAGAGAGAGGGAGTCACAGACTGAAACAGGCTCCAGGCTCCGAGCTGGCAGTCAGCACAGAGCCCGACGCGGGGCTCGAACCCACCAACCGCGAGATCATGACCTGAGCCAAAGTCGGACGCTTAACCGACTAAGCCACCCAGGCGCCCCTGTTGTGATTGTGTTTTAAGGTCACATGCTTACATCTCTCCCTCTGTTTTATCCTCTCGAAGTTTTAGTCCTACTCAGAATGACCGTTTCCTGCAGTATCATCTGCTCTGGGACAGAGTGACACAGAGGAGTTAGGCTGGTCACTCATCCTGAACCTCTAGTAGGCAGTGTTCCTATACTTTGATTTTTAATTGTCTCTCTCTCTCTCTCTTTCTCTCTCTTAAGTAAACTCTACACCCAGTGTGGGGCTTGAAGTCACATCCATGAGATCAAGTCATATGCTCTATGGATTGAGCCAGCCAGGTGCCCCTTCCCATACTTTGGATTCACTATTCTCTGCCGACTTGGAATGGCAACTCTAGAACCTGGTTTGAAGCTGTTGTCCTAGAGTTTGGAACTTCACTGCACATTATTGGTGGGCTTAAGAAAAACAATTTGATGATTTTGTTTTCATTGGTGAGATCCATATATGCATGTCAGCAGCTATATTGCAAGACATAATATTTGTCAATGAAATACATGTTGATAATCTTTTTTGGAGGATGGGGAAAATCCGTGATTTAAAGTTTATTGAAATAGAATTTGATAATTGAAAGATTTTAAGCCCCCCAAAAATCTCTATCTCAGGTTTGCTAGCTCTGAGTAGATTTCAGGAAGGATGTGAATGAAACCCTGAAATGTTGTATATAAGTGGATTTTTCTGAAAAAAAAAAAATCCACAACTCTAATTAGGTTTTTAAATGTCTCTTGTACCCAAAATAGTTGTTAAAGCATTTTAAAATTTAGAAAACTGTCCTTTTCTTCATTTCTCTCTTAGAGTTTACTGTTAAGTTTGTCCATTAGATAAGTATTCTTTGGAAGGTTAGTTAATGATAATACAGAATGCTATCTTTCAGCCAGCAACTTGAATTCTGGGAAATAATATGAATCATAGCTAATACTTGTTGAGTTCTTAGTATGTACTGGATGTTGTTCCAAGTATGTATGCATTTTTTAGAAATCATCGTGATAAACTTATGTGGTGGTACGTACGGACTGTATTATATACCTGAGAAAATTGAAGCATAGGGTAATTAAATATTTACTTTCCCAAAGTTACAGAGCTAGTAAAGTGGTAGAGGTGGGATTTGAACCTGGACAAATTTAAGATCACTGGTGTTTATGAAGGATGACATTTCCATAGAAGCATTTCCCACAATGCGGCAATGACAACTACCCACTACTTTATTTTGATGCAGTTTTATGATAGGATGTTGGTTTTCAAGTACGACTGCTTATACAGGACTTGCATGATTGACTTCATTAATTATACATTTAAAGATTAGCCTTATGATCAAATAATATTCACATGAGTATTTATTTGTGTTTGGTTCCTTGGAGAAATTTCCCTTATGGTTCCTGAATGAAAACCCTTGTTTAATTTGCATCAGTTTTTGCTGATAGAGCATGACATAGGTACAGGTGGATTGATCAATATGTCTGTATCTATCGCTCAAACTATCTATTCACCCATTCAAGCAGAAAGGTGGGATTCATGGAGACATCAGAACAGAAGCCTTTCCCAATTATCACAACCGAGGTGGTGTAGTCAACTATTTGAGAAGCCTTTTCATAAGCTTCAATGGTATGAGGGTTGGCAAGAAGCCAGCTTCTTTCTTTAGCTCAATATTAGCTCTTAGATTTACTTAGCCATTGATTGCAGATTACCACATGAGGCTTTGAGGCTGAACAATGCTTAAGTGCTTGCTGCTGTCTGTTTGAGTGGATTGAATGGACAAATTCCTTAGAGACATTGAGAGAGCATGTGTGGTTTTAGTAGTATTTACTACTAGCTATTTAATGGTGAGTTTTACTAATTAACTATTATTAATTATATATGTTAATTACTATTTACTACTTCACTTTTTTTTTCAAGTTACTCAGTGTTGGGATGAAAAGTAGGAAATAGGCTCTTCGATCCCATTTCAGTTGAGTGGTGTTATTTGTTATTTGTTGTTGTTTTTTTTTTAATTTATTTCTGAGAGAGAGAGACAGCATGAGCAGGGGAGGGTCAGAGAGAGAAGGAGACACAGAATCCGAAGCAGGCTCCAGGCTCTGAGCTAGCTATCAGCACAGAGCCCAACACGGGGCTCGAACCCACGAACCGTGAAATCATGACCCGAGCTGAAGTCGGATGCCCAACTGACTGAGCCACCCAGGTGCCCCGAGCAGTGTTATTTGTATATGTTTTATATCTGAAGGCAGGGCGTATGTATACATATATTTTCAGTGTTTTATTCCACTGAGTCTAGTAGTGTCTTGCAGGTCATTTTTGGAAGGATCACAATATACATAGATCGATCTATCATCTATCTATCTATCTATCTATCTATCTATCTATCTATCTATCATCTATCTATCTATCTATCTATCATCTCTCTATCTGTCTATCATCTATCTGTCATCTATCTATCTATTTATCTCCATGTACATTTTGTATGTAGACCATATAAATATGGATTTAAAAAGTTTGAATGCTTGTTAGCTCATCATGTTCTAAGAATACATATTTGATTGTTTTCCAAATACTAAGGTTTCTCCAAGTGCTGACAGCGTGCAGAGGGGATCAGGAGAGTGACAGACAGTATTTTGTTAAATAGAGGAATTGAAACTGAAAATGATCCTACAAAAGAAAATATGATGGTTGTAAGGTTGGTGGGGAGGAAGCTCTACTTACCAGAGTGACATGGGAAAGCAGCCCTGTGACACATTCCTTGATCCCTTGTGTCATTTCACTCCCACCGGGCATTTCGCTTATACACCTTCTAATAAAAACTCAAGAAATAGAGGACTCCTTGTACACTGTTAGCACTGACCCCAGTTATTCTTTAATTGAACACTTTGTAGCTAAAAATTTTATAGTATATTTTTCCAACTTCTTTGCTCTTCATACACGTCAGCAACAAAAAGTGTATACATTTGAAAGTTGTAAAATAATTTTGTTAAAATTATTCTTTATGTTATTGTAAAGATTACTAGTACACAGGTAACCAAAGTAATTCATTTGATTTTTGATAAGAAATTATGAGGCTTAAAATGATATTGTATCCATAAAATGTTTGTCATAAATGTAGCTCTGGGTGGTAGTGATATCAATGCTTTCACTAAGGCAGGGTTTTCTAACACCAGGTTTTCAAATTGCCCCTTTATTTGGCACCCTTGCAAAGGCAAAGCACATGGTAAGATTCTGAATGGGAGAGAGATGTGCCTTTCTTTGGTAAAATGG